AAGCGCCGTCGTGCCGTCCGTGCCCGGGGAAGCGTCCGCGTCCCGCCGCCGCCTGTCTGCGGTGCCCTGGCGGAGGCAGGGGGCAGAGCTGCGCTGCAGCCTGTCACGCCGGTCTCGCCGCTCCCGGCAGTTTCTTCTTCTCTTGCGCTGGTGGTCGTGGGAGAGGGATCGTCCCCGTCCTGTCCAGCCGCCAACGGTTGGGGTTTTTTTCCCCTGCTTTTTGATGACACGCTGTTCTTGAAATATACATTTATCTGTATTTTTCTTCCTCTAGGTATCTTTTGAGAAGCCACTTGGTCCAACATGGCTTTGATTAGCCAAAAAAGTTTCCAGTTTTATTCATCCAGCACACCAGCAAGCAGGTCCATTTTGATGACCCTAAGCAAAAGGTTGAGCTTTATCAGCGGGCAGCGAAAGCCCCAAAACTGTAGCTCCGTAGCCATGAGGATGCTATGTTTCAAAGATAAATCTCAGTATATGTTTTGTAGAAAAAACCACGTACAGCTGCGGATACAGTCTCTTTCTGTTAATGACACTGTGCATCTCTGTGGAGATACGGGGAGCGGTCCTAAATCTGATAACGGGTGGATAGATGAACAACTATTTTTCAAGAAGTTGAACAGCCTTTGTACATCGAAAGAGATTTTTGACTTTCTCAGCTCTCTGGAAGTCATGTCTGATACTATGGCATCAGGAGCCTTGCAGAGGATTTCTGAAGTTGAGGTGGATGACAATGGTCTGAAAAACCCTGAGGGAGTGTTAGAGAATGAAGTTTTCAGGGCATTGTGCTTCCAGTTTGAATTTGAATCCTCAAAACTGTCAAACACTGGGCTGCTGAATGCATTGCAAGCTTTAATAAAGCTGCGTATAGATCCCCAGAGCACGCTGATGGCAAGCTTGCTTTCAGAGGGCGAGGGACGGCTTGGTAAAGGACAGTTGACTGTTAAAAATCTGTGTGCTCTTGGAGAGAGTTTGCTTGAGTTGGAATGCCCAAGTTGTGCGACGCTGGGACAAATTGTGAACCACATGCAGGAAAAAGACATTGAGAAGTGGAGTCCTAGGGAAATGGTGATGGTTTATAAGATTCTGCAGGTGACTGTCAGGGAAGGGGAACAATACCAAGACTTGCTGAACAGAATGAACAGTGTCACTTTAACAATAGTTTCCCAGCTAAACCCAGAGTTCACAAGCGTAATACTAAATTCACTGGTTGTTCTTCATCAGACTCGGGCAGTTCCCTTAGTGACAGCACTGTGTAGGCATTCAGTGAAGCATATTCCATATTTCACAGGGGATGAACTGGTAAATGTACTGGAAGCCTTCCTATACTTTGGACATCGTGAACAAATGTTTACAGAGGCACTGGAAACACATGTTCCTGAGGCCATCTTTACCATGCATCCGCAAACAGTCAGCAAAGTCATGCATTATTGCTGCCGAAAGATGATCCTTTCTAAGCCCATCTTTGATGCAGTGGCAGAAGCTTTCATTTCCAATGCTGACAGATTTACCACCGACCAGATTGCTGAGTCTATTGTACCATTTGGGACTCTTAACTATCTCCCTCCAAGTGCTCCTTCCTTGTTTAGGAAGCTTGAAACCATACTGTATACTCGCTTTCGTCACTTTCAGCCTCACACCTTGCTGAACCTGCTGCACTCGTGTGTCCTTATTCAACGTTACCCAGTAAACTTTCTGCCAAAAATATTTAGTCCCTATTTTCTGCAACAGCTTCAAGGTAAGGGAGCAGTGTTTCTCTTGCTATGTTCTGCATTTCTTTCTGTTACGTGGTGTGTCTCTTGTCAAGAACCCATTTGTTATCATTTACATCTGTCAAATCAACAGTGACCTGATTAAGGTGACTGGAGGCTGAAGATTGTTGCTTCCTTGTCACAGTTGCAGTTGTCTTTCAGTTTACTTCATTTAGAGGAGTTTGAAAGTTATCCTGTACAATCTTAAACTGAGATTTGAAATCCCTTCAGAATTTTATTTCAAGTAATCCTGCTTTTCTAAAAAATTCTAACCCTCTGTCTTTCCCCATGTTTGTCCTTTGTCTCATACAGGTTTTAGATGCTAAGTTACTCTGTGCAGGAAGTGTGTTACTTCTAACGCTGGCTGTTTAAACTCCTTTGCCTATGCAGTGACCAATGTGAACACTCACACTGAAGTGAGACTATTGCTACTGTGAGACTAGGAAGGCCAGGGAGACTAGCTGTAATGGAACTACTAAGGCTGACACCAAAAGTGGTAGAATTTTTAATGACAGTGATATTTGGAATGGTGCATGAGTGATGTAAAATGCAGTTTAGTGATTCTGCATTCATTTTTCTCTAAATCGTTGCATTGTAACGACAGCCACCTGAGGGAAGGTGGCATAAAGTTGGAATGCTGGATAGTGACTCCTGAGACTTGACTTTTATTCTGGGTGTAGCCCCCCCGCCCCGCTCCATTTGCTTTGCAGGTTTGGGAAGTTGCTTCACTTTTCTGTATCTTTTCCCTCCCCCACAATTGTTTGCTTTGCTTACCTGGGTCTCATACTCCTTAGGGTTGGGACTGGCTCTTGGGCGTTTTACTCAGGGGCTATCCCAGGAGAGGATGTTTCAAAAACCTTAGAAATACTAGTAGTTCTGATTGTGAAGCTAAAATAATTACCGTCTGCTTGTGCACGGCTGGTAAGGTTTAAGATTTCACTGCCTGTCTTTTTAAAGCTAAGTCTGCTGTGACTTTGCGTAATCCTTATTTCTGGATATCTTCCTAAGCATCCAAACCATTCTCTTTCTGAGGCTCTGAGGACAAGGTACATGATTGCAGTTGTCAGAAAACCTGTTCATAGCCTTTAAAATTGGGACCAAATTATGATATGTAAGAAATGTTACAATAACTGTTCCACAGCTTACTTGTAATTGTGTTACTAGCAAGCTCACCTATTGCTACAGAAATAATTCATTGTTATATTTAAAAAAATAATCTAAAAATCCTTATAAACTTTTGTCAAGATTAGTGCAAACTCTAGAGAGAAGTGAGGTGAAGTGTAGCACTAGGACAAAAAATTTAAATTACCATTATTGATAAGAACATGTTACATATAAAGGATTTGTAAATCTTAGGCAGCACAAATATGGTTTTCAAATGCTATTTTGCCTTATGATTCAAAAAAGGTCCATTGCAACTAAGCGATTCTAGTGCTTTGTTCCTTACCTTCCATCAGGCTGTGTCGTGTCCAACTTTTCAGGTGGGGGTAAGGTAGAACCAGGTATGGACTTCTGCTGTCATCTCTACTCTTCCGTTCTTTCAGGATAAGGCTTACTGTATTAATATTCTTGCTTCCAACTTGGTTGCATTTCTCTTTCATATTGTATTGTGATCAGCTTGTGAAAGCTGGGAAGGGTAAGTGGATAAAGCTGAAAAAATTAATTTGCAGTGCATAATTGTTGGCTTAATTAAAATAAAGTGAGATCTGAACCAGTAAAATGTAACAACATCATAAATGTGAGCAGTTAAATATAGCCTGGTATTTTTTTTTAATACCTAGGTAAAAATGTAAATTGAATTCTAAGGCTCACATATGTTTTAACAAGGCATAAAGATTGGTGCTTTGTCCTGGATTTTAAATTACTTTTAATCTAGAATCCAATGCAGTTATGTGATGCTTCTTCCCACTGGCAGCCTGTCTGCCGACTACGCTCCTCCGACGGAGGCTTCCCATGCCCATATTTGTTCCGTGCCCTGAGCTCCTTCCCTTCCCACCTCTCAGCGAGTGCTACAGTCCCATCCTTGGCCCTGTGTCTTACCATACTGAGGAAAGCATTATGAAATTTAAAAATCTACCCCATGGTTTATCCCATCTTACTTAGGGAGGTGGAAGAGTCTGCTCACCCGCTGCTTCCAAGACTGTCTTGTCTTGCAAGGGCTGCCTTCACCTAATTGTTTGGGGTTTTTTTTCCCAGTCTGGTACATTTTTAGAACATCCCCCATGTGGTATGATAGCCTGTCCTTGGCTGTAACTATGACATAACCCAGCACTTTTGGACACAAACCTATTACGAACACCACAGTTGTAAGCTATAGATTTTAAGTAATTCTGTGTTAGATAGTAAAGCATATTTAGCGGCATTACAGGGATATGTAAGCTACACCAGAAACATGAGTGACTTCTGTAGATCTCAGCTAAAATAGCTCTGTTAATAAAACTATATAGAAGGTCAAGTTTGCAAAGTTATTAGAAACTTTGGTTGCTCAGTTTTTAGCTGTTCAACATAAAATACCTGAAGAGGTTGATTTTTAGGAAGCAGACATTCCTCATATCCTAAAAAACAGAACGTCTTGTAAAGTTATCAAGATGATACTTCGAAAACGAGAAACCTCAGAGTAGCAGTTACTTTGAATATGTTCTTTTAACTCAGTATAAAAGTATTCCACTAGAGTGGTCAAATGTTCAGAACAGGAACTTGAGAAGATAACCTGTATGATTAGCATCTTATACTACCTCAGGATTACCTTTCTGTAATAATACTTTGCACGTAACGTGAAAGATTCTTCAAATATACACTTCTAGAGAAATCTCCAGAAATTCATCAGTATTACCCACTACTTTCAGATTAAAAAAAAAATAATAATAAATCTGAGTGAAACAATGAGATCCTGGGATTATAACTTGGGGAGAGGGGACTGTAGGAAGAACGTAATAGGGCATTTCTCTGAGACCTCAGCTCAAACTTATTCCTCCCTGTAGAGCTTCCTGCATCTCTTAAGACCCTCATTTTTTGGTGAAGGAGTATGACATCTTAACTAAGATCTTGCTAGTTGTATGTATTTTTTTTTATGCTGATGATATTTCTGTAAATAATTTCCTCATTTTTCTAACTACATCATTTCACTACTGATCTTTCTGTTCATTCAAACAATGATTAAGGTTGATAACGATCAAGTAGCTTCTCTGCATGTTAAACTGAATAGTTTTTCCTAACTTCTGCGCAATGGTTTGTGTAAAGATACTTTGTTGAAAGTACACCTGAAAGCCTGAATTTTTTTGTTTCAGCTCAGCCACCTGGTCTGGACAGAATTGTTACCGCCCAGCTAACCCGGATTTTTCTGACTGTTACCCTGGAGTGCCCATTTTATGAGGTATGGTACATACGAAACTGGAACTGATGTTAGCAAGAGGTGATAAGGTCATTAGGGCGCTATCGATAATTAGTTGAAGACTGTCTTTCCCGTAAAAGGAATCGGATGAAACAGCTTTTTTTTTTTTTCCTTGATGAAAATATGAAGCATTTTTATGTTTGATTGACTTGATATATTTGTATGTTTGATGGAACTGACTAGCTCTAAGCTAAAGTGCTTTTTGAGTATTTCCAAGTACTTTTCCAACAAGGATTCCTTTTTTATTTTGACTTTGAGAACAAAAGAGATCAGGCACTTCAATATTGGCGTGACTGCAGAGGAATGGAAGCGGTTGTGAATTTCTCATGAGTGATACATGCATTGTGATAGCATGAAAGCTTGCTGAGGATATTCTGGTAGTTGGTTTTTTTGTTTTGGTTTAGTTTGGTTTTTTTAAGTTTCTGGTAAATCATACCTCAGACTGTAAGTCTCTCAATAGACAGGTCTTTGAAATGCACAGGATACATTTTGCTACATTAAGATGAGGTAGAAAAAATGTTACCTCCCTTTTTATTTTCTTTGATACAGCTTTCTGTCATTATGTAGGGTCCCAAACTCCTTCCAAAATATCAAGTGAAGGCCTTTCTCATGCCTCACAGTACCCTGGATGTTCACCTCCTCAAAAGGGTGAAGACTGGATTACTTTATTTACTGAAAAAAAGAATATATTTTTCATCAGAGGTATCAACACCATATTTCTATACAGTTGGTAAGTAACGTTTCTTCAGATTAATAATAAAAAGTATACTTATGCTGTCAAAACTTCATAATTTTCCAGGAATAAAGATGATTGATTTCATTCCCTTTGTGTGCATTCTAAACTGTGCAAGTATGGAAAAAGTAAACTGAAATACAAAACTCCGTAGAAAGTCTGGAAGGAGGAAACATTATGGGAACTTAAGTAAATGCATTTTCAAAGTGAGAAAGAAGAACAAGGAGAGAAAAGAACTGCAAATAGTACTTGGAATTTACGTAGCCAGTCTGCACTGAAAATAGCTGCTCTCTCTTGTATTCTGTATTTTTACTATCAGCACCCCTTCTGCATATCCTGTAAACAGTTTGTATAACGTAAAGCAAAATGAGGCAATGCCACTTGCCTGATCTCTCTGCTTTGGTGGTGAGTAGAGAACGGGAGAGCTGGAAGGTTGTCAGCCCTCTGCCCTGCTCAGCTGGGCTCCTCTCCCCTCAGCAAGAACTGGTGACTACCTAGAGTCAGTGGGGGCTTGTGGACTGAAAGAGAGGAGTGGCCAAAACAGTGTTTCATGCACTAGGAAAGGAAACAGAGAGAAGGTAATGATGAGGAAAGATGTGTGCCCAGGAGGGGTGGAGCATAAAGAAGGTGTTGAGGGAAGGGTCTCTCAGACACCATGGACATTGTAGGGATGAAAAAAAAAAATCTAGAGAGAGGTATGACTCCAGAATTACTCTGCATTTCAGCTTCGACGTGGGGTTGAAGTTGGCAGGGTGTAGGTCCTGAGCTCTGTTTGCAGATTGACATCATCTATAAAATTAGGGAATTAGTGAGAAAAATAAAAGCGGGGGGAGGAGACTCTCCCTAAAGCCCTCAACATTGCAGAGGCCTTAGCCAGCCCAGCAAAGTGTCATTTAATTACATTACAGTTTTTAGTGGACTTGGAATACTACTTTGCTGTTAGCATTATGAAAGGCAGAAGTGTTACTAATTATCACTCCTTTGTGTTAAATAGTCTATACACATCTTTTGCAAGCCTCTGTGAAAAAAGTATTCCTGAAAGAAAAAAGTATTGTGATAGTATTTTAGTTATTTTATAAAGCAGTAACTGTGAGAGGATGAGAATTACAGTAAACTGTTATATGAAATTAGTTTTAATGTCACTTCTCTTTTCATCTATACTAGATATTGAGATTAAATTAGATGAAGAAGGTTTTGTATTACCTGCTACCCAAAGTGAAGAGGTACACAGTCGGTAAGAGAATAAAAGAAACCACTGGTAAAACGTTAACATTGACAAAGAGCATCCAGGGTGAAACCCCAGCAAAATTTAAGCTAATGGGAATTTTGCCATTGACCTCAACAAAGCTGAGGTTTCACATTGAAACCACTGGCAGAAGGACAAAGTTGGCAAAATTAACAATCTGCACTTTTTCCTCATTATTTTGCCTCCTGACTGTACAGCGCCAGACAATTAGTCTTGTGACAGTCAGGATCAAAGTGATCCTGATTTGGCTTATAGTAATGTATTTTGATATTCTGTAAATTATGTTCAAATTAAAACCAAATTAATTCTAATTGAGCATGTCCGCCTAGATTTAACGCAGTTTAAGCCAGTTTGAGTTCACAAATTCACTTCTGTAAGGAATCCTGTGTAATGAGGATATTTGCTACAGATGCTATTTTTAATGCAAAATGCATAGGTGTTTAAAAAAATATGTTAAACAAGGATTATTTTGAGAAACCTTGGATACAAAGTTAAGCAACCTGGCTGTGTGATATTTGCAATTGCGCTTCTGTGGATAAAGTAAAAGTCTTTGAATAGGTTATGTTCTCTCCAACGTAACCTTCACAAGACTCACAGACTAATACAGATTCTTTCAAAAATCCCATGCTTAAATGTTTGAGGATGGGGTTTGATTTTTTTTAAAAATTACAGCTTTCATGAGTAAATAAGGTCACAATATACTTACCACACTGAAAATTTAAGCAACTTTTTTACAGTGGATGTACAAATTTTAGTTTAAGTTCATGTGATTTTTATCACCAAGGAGAAAAAATATAATCCATGATGCTGCCAACCATACATATAGGTTTAATTTAAACAGATTTAGTTTAAACTTAACTTTAACTTAAACTCTAACAGGTTTAACAGGTACACTAATAATTTGAATAAATTTAGCTGCTGAAATGTTTTCAAGTTGAGACAAGTATTTTGTATTTTTTTTCTCATCAAAGAATTCAAAGCAGTTTACCAATAGTGGCATTAAAAATATCAATCTCTTATTAACTTGGGTGGTAACTTTTGATCGGAGCATATAAAGAAGCTTTTTAGATCAGTTTCACTAAGCTTCAAGCTTTCCCCCACCCACCCTTAAATTGAGTGATATAAATTGTCCTGAACTAGGTAACTCCCATCCTACAATCTCTAATCCTAGGAAGTATTAGGGAGTAAAAGGGGAAGTATTGTCTCATGCTTCTTAGGAACTGCGGTAGTTGTGGTGATTAAAATAACTCATTTATTTTTTCGGTACTACACTTGTGCTTGATTTTAGAATTGCCCTGTGTGTTGATGGTCAAAACAGATTTTGCATTAATAGCCACAATCTGTTGGGAGAAGAAGCTATTAAACAGAGACATCTTCAGTTACTTGGTTATGAAGTTGTGCAGGTAAAGTCCAAAGACAGCCGTTTACTTTCGCTCTGGCTAACAAAACAAGTGAAAAATGATTATTTTATAATGTTTAGAACTGTAATTGCAATTACTTTCCAAGGCAGATGTAGTCTTGTCCTTTCTATATGTTCTCTCAAACTAGCTTTTGCCTTTTTGAGGGTGTTACAGAAATTCCTTTTTCCTCCTTGGATCAATTAGTGTATTCTGTCTGTGTTTTCTGCCAAATAGTGGCTGCTTGAAAGAGTATGTCTCTGCAGTGATTAAGGTTCAAATCTTGACTTAAAAGAAAACCTTGTCTAAGAGTTCAGTAGAATCAGGATTTTTAATTAAATACTTTTTAAAAAAAGTCCGAATTTAGAGTTTAAAAAGAGGAGTTAAAAAAAAGGAAGTGCTTTGTATTGTAAATACTATTTTTACCACAAATATCCTTTATTTTGCCTGATGAATTAATAGGAGTATTTTTATCTTTAAACCTACTTTGGAGTGAAACAGTTACTTTTAGATTTTTGAGATTTTCTTTTCCGTTTATAATCACTTATCACATAAGCCTAACTCCATTACATTTAACTTAGATTAAACTGTAATGGATATCTCTCTTGGTTTTACAATAATCTCTATTCAGGTGATATACAGAACAATAATACACTTAGGATTAAATCTTTAATTCTAAACCAGACAAATCTTTGATGTGTAATCTTAGAGCTGCTAATGAACATCAATCTTACCCAGTTGTTTATTAAAAGGTATGTTCAGCAATTATTTTTGTTTTGTTTCCAGATTCCATTTTTTGAGGTAGAGAATCTACAAAATTGCAGAAAAATGGCAGAATATCTACACAAAAAAATCTTTCCTCATACATATGGACTCAGCTGCTGACACTGGAGAATAATACTAAATCACAGATTGACCTCCTGTACTATAGAGTGTAAATGTTGTGTGTGGAAGAACAATTCTGTTTTCTAAATAACTCCACCTAACATAATCTGAGCTTCTCAATGTGAGACCTTCCAATATTTGGAACACTTGATATGTAAACAGTAATAAAGAGCAAGATATTTTCTTAAGTTTTGCATAAATATTTATTATAAGTTATCAGATGTAATGGCCAGACAGTCAGTGCTGCGTTTCCTTTCTATTTTCACTGGTTCTAACTCACAACTGCAGATGGACAGATGCTGCTATTCAGGGATACTGGCTGGTGCTGAATGTACAGAATGTGCCATGCTACTTAACGATCAGGGCTTTTCTTGACAGTATAAAAAGAAATTGTGCAATTTCGCGTGATTTCCCATGTGTTTCGTAAAATTTGCAGTAGCTGCACAAGCAGTGTTGGCTTATTGCTCATACTTAAGAGATGTAGAGTGCTGTCCACTAAATAGCAATGCCTGACAGAAAATGAGAATGTTCTTATTAAAAAGATTCGCTTTACTTTGTAAAAGAAGAGCTGCCACAGGGTAGTGGACTTGTACAGCTGTCTCTGGGGGGGCAACCTAGATTCGGGGTATGTACTGTTTTGTAGTTTTGTCTTTGGTGGCAGTTTTAGCTAAACTGGCTAAATGAGGTCATGTATGCGCTCCAGAGTTCCCTCAGTTTACAGCCTGCCATTTGAGCCTAAACTGAAACTCGTTATGCTCTGAAGCCCCGAAGAACTATGTCCTGTGCAGTCCATTTTTATGTCTTGAGTATAAATTCTGGCAGAATGGTGGAACTGAGAACTGGAACCAGTAACCACTTCAGCTGGAACAAGCGTGCCCTAACTTGGGTCAGTGTGTTGCTTTATAGATGGACGAAGGGAAAATAATGCAGCCTTAGTTCCCGTCAGATAACGTATGCTTGATGAACTGCCATGTAAGACACATTTTCAGGTTAGCTTGTGCGTCATGTCCTGTGTGGAATTATTATTTATGAGTAGCAAAGCAGAATTCCCAGCATCACCTGGTTTGATTTTAACTATTATGATTTGATACAAAAAAGGTGAAACTTTTACATCCTTGAAGTTCTGTATATTTCACCAGTAGATACAGAACGTGGCCGTTTTTTCCTTCCAAGGCTACTGTTAATAATTTGTGAGTTGCGGGTGTCCCATCAATTGTCCCAACAATCCCTGGAGATTCTTGGATGCAAAATCCAGATCCAAAATACGATTTACATTGTGTCGTGCTGTGCATTCTGTTCATGTTAATTCATTGCATGTCTAAAACCCTTACTCACAGTAGTATGTCAGCGCTGACAGGTGAGGGAGCACCAAGAGGTAATGAGACACTTTCCAGCAGTGTAATAGGAAGCTTACAGCACATCGGTAACCTAATAGTTGTCATGCTAGCAAAAGAGAAATTGGAGGAGAACAACTGGAATGTCTTTGCAGACATTTATAAGGAACTTCTCCCTAATACAGAAGAAATCGCCAGGGTATTCTTTCGACATTAACTGAGCAAGCAAGTAGGAGGAGGAACAACCCGTGAAAAGCCTTCAAAAGTGAGGCGGCATGGGAAGGGGCTGAAAGAGAAGGGGGGGTGACACAAGCAAAGAAATGAGAGAGGAAATCTGGTACTGGTGTCAAAGTGAGCTGGTGATGCTTATTTCTCACACAGGCCAGGAGGTGGTAGTGTTCTCAAACAGATTTGATTTCCTGCAGTTTTTTAAACACAGATGGTCTGTAAATGTAGTAAGACTACTTAAAGGAAGTAATTTGTACTGGTTGTCCCAAACTAAAAATAAGCTGTCTAGAATATGGCCGTATTCCATCTCATTCTTCACTGGAATACATTTGATACTGATTTTTGAAAGAGCATTCTGGTATTGTTAGAAAACCTTTCCTTCTCACGATGTTCTCACATTCCTTTAATTTAATGCTGCTGGATTTGTGAAGTATTTATTGTCGAAAAGGAATGTAGCAATTACTGCCCTATTGTCCCTAGCTCAACTTGCAGGTCATGAATAATGAAAGTAATAACCATCTCTCTGAATGGGCTGCTCTGTGTGCTCTGCTTCTCACATCATGCCAAACAAGTGCTATTGATTGCCGAATTTACTCCTTATCCAGGCCCCAGAAAAGAAGTTGGTTTTATTATTTTTTACTAGGAGACTCACTATGTTCATAAATGACAATAGGTTTCCAATGTGTAAGTACCTGACAAAACTCCACTGTCAGGCAAAGCTGTGGACTTCCAGTCCTTGTTCTGGTATGATCGGTCCGGCTGCTGTTCCTTTCTGAACAGTACTGCCTCAGCTTTAAGCAACAGCAGGATTGATGGCTCTCGAGAACCAAACGGATGCAGACCCCAGCAGGAAATACTCTTCCTGATATTGCCTTATAACTTCAGTACTGGATTCAGTGAGAATACAAGGCACTAAACATTTAAGCAGGTTTAGACATCTACTCTAAATATGCTTTTGAAATGACAACTGCTCAAATCCTTGTGTTTTTTCCATCCTTTCTACCAAACTAGTTAGTGCTTGTTCTCTTAGTATTACTTTTTATTTTTCTTTTTTTCAGCATTGGATACAGAACCAAAGATGATTTTTCTTGTGATGCTCTTGAACAGATCAATCCCTCAAACACCATTCGTATAGTGAAAGTCAGAGAAAAGGATGTCTGAAATCAGCTGAGCCCAGATTTTGTCTATTTAAATGCTAAGTACTGAGAAGTTCCCTTTAACTTGACTTCCGCTTGAAGTCTAGTGAAACTGCTAAGCACTTCTCTGAGTCAGATCATTTCTTTACTTGCCCATTTATGGGTAAGCCCATCCATTTTGGAAAATCTGGGTTGAATCCCTGTTTCAGCTGTTGTGCAAATAAAATAACACCTTGCAATTTGTAGCAATGCTGTAAGGATTAAGAAGTGGGTGACCACTGGTACCTTGAGGAACAAGCTCACTTAAATGTTACATCTGTGAACAGTTATGTAGAAGCACTGTCTAAAATAGCAGAGAGACAGCTGTTGCCCCAAAAGGTCTCATTTCCAGCCTTGCTACCTAAAATGTTCAGCTCTTGCTGATGCTTTTCTTCATGAGATTTTTATGAGACTGTAAGGAGAAGACATGCATTTGAAGGAAAGTACAGCTGTTATTTCATCCTATTTTTAATCCAAATCATTCTCATTAACTAAAATGCAGAGGAAAAGGCAAAAGCACCATATTGCTTTTTGTTGTGAGGTGGGGTTTTTTCCATATAGATATTGCTGGTAATGATAGGTACAAGAGATTTAGCATGGATCCAGGCTTGGAGAAGGTTTTTCCAATAAGCAGGTGATGCCATTTTTCCTGTAGAATTCTGCCTGCACGTGATTAATCCTTGCATGATCTCTGATTGGCTGCTCTATGGGCTTATTTATGCGTCTCCCATACTCTGAAGATGACAAAACAGCGACAGGTCTTGCCATTTCCTGTGAAAATATAAAGTTCTCCTTATAAGAAAATCACAGAGTTAATACTTGGCAGTTATCTACTGCTAAATGTGCTGTGGCTGGGGGCAAAATAACAGACAGAATTGTACAGCATCTGCTATATGGATTTATATCTATTTAGCAGTGATCTGCACTCTTACTGTTCCATCCCTGACCTAGTTTTTTTATGTATATTAATAAACGATGAATGTATCACTAGATGACAAGATGGTAAGATATGGAGCTGTGCCATGCATTACTGTGGACTGGTAATTTTTTACACATGCAAACACACATGCAATTACCATGTGACTACTGGCAAACTAAATGCTATGTTACTGGAAAGTGACATAGATTTTATTTTAATTATTTTTCTTGTGCACTGACTTGCGTGATTCATTTGAAAAATAGGGGAGATTTAATTTGTATCCCCTATTACAGGAACAGCTACCCTGCTTGCACAATTCAGTGAAACCACTGCATGAAAAAAATCAAAGCCTAAAGAAAAACCCTGAGCAACCACTAGTCCATGCAAGCTTTCCCTGAAGGACATAAAGCATATACTAGTGTATTTTTACACAATGAAAGGTTTTACTGAAAATGCTTGTAGCTGTAAAATTATAGAAATAAAGGCTCTGCAATGATGGGAAGTGGACTTGGCGAAAAATAACCTGACCAAGAAAAGATTATTTTAAGCTTCTTCTTAGTAAACTGCACTTTAAGTGACTGTGCAATCACTATCTGCAATCTGCATTTCCTTCCTGTGCTACAGCAATGCGGAGCTTTGGAGTCAGAAGAGAAAGACAGGATTTGTTTGGTTTT